TGTGAGCCTAGAGGACACCATAACCTGGTGAATTTACAACTGGTTGAGCTACACCTAAAAGATGCTCATAAACAGTTTTAACTGATCTGGAGGATCAAGTGTCCATCCTCAACATCTTTATAAATGATGAGGATGAAATGGATTTAGGACATAAAAGATTAAATGAAATTTGCATATGACACCAATTTATGGTGATTGGTTAACAGAGGACAAAATCAAAATAATATTAAGAGTTTTGAAAATCAGCCAAATTAATAGGAAGATGTTCACCTGTGACAAGAGTAAGTTCTTGCACCTAAGCAGGGAAAATCAAATCCATAGTTTCAGGTTTAGGGAAGCCAGGCTTACTGACAATATATGTGAAAAATATCTTGAAGTCCTAGAAGACAGGCAGCTGAACTTGAGCCATGAGGGTGATGCAGATCTAAAATTCCAATGAAGTCTTGGGCTGCATGAACAGAAGTACTGCATTCAGATCACTGGAGAGAATAGTTCCACTACACACTACATTAGTTAGACTGCACCACACTTTAAAAGAGACTGGAACTTCAGAGTGAAGCTATCAAGATGATAAGAACTCTGAACTATATCCTTTAAAGAACAGTTAAAGGAGATTTAGCTTGTGAAAGAAAAGGCTAACAGGACATACATGATTCTACTAATATTTAGAATATTGTCACATGCAAAATGTAAATCTATTCTCTGCTGAACCAAGGACAGGTTAAGGACTGAAATTAAAAGCAGATTAAGGTTGGATATTAGGAGGAATGCCTTGATGGTAAGGATAATTAAAAGGTGGGAGACTGCTAAGAACACTAGTAAACCCTCTTGGAGGTTTTCAAACAGGGTGGATGTCTACCTGTTGGTAGTTCTGAACAAAGAACTTTGTGGTTTTCTGAACAAAGCAGGGGTTAACTAGAAGACCTATAAGGTCACTTCCATTCATTCCATGATTGTATACTAATGATAACAGCATGTCTTATTAACAGGATGAATTGTCATTGCTGCTAAAAAGGGTCTAGTGTGGAACTGATGGTTGCAGTGCTGAAGGAAGGTTGGAGGCAACCACATTCAGGTCCCCAACTTAAGCTAAGAAGCTAAGGTAAGGTCATAAGGTTTTTTGGGAGAACTATGCATGTCATGTTGAATTAGAGCTCACAGGACAAGAGATTAATTTCACATTTATCAAATTAAAATGGACCTGTATTTAAAGGAACACTTCAAAACCTGGTGGAATAGCTGTGGTTGGATGAGGAGGTCCAGGGATTTCTCAGCAAAGATAAGAAAAACCTGTTTTTCTTATCTTCTCCTGTTTTAACTGGCTTCAGAACTAGTTGTTGTTTTCATGATTGATTTTGCTCCCCTTCAAGAGCAGGAGTAAGATGGTATCTTTATATGGTACCAATATAAGCATGAGAGCCAGTCTGGTGTAGTGGTTAAGGCACCAGGCTAGAAACTGGGAGATTGTGAATTCTAGTCCCACCTCAGGCACAAAGCCAGCTGGGTGACTTTGGGCCAGTCACTCTCTCTCAGCCCTAGGAAAGAGGTAACAGCAAACCACTTCTGAAATTCTGCCAAGAAAACTGCAGGGACTAGTCCAGGCAGTTACCAGGACTCAATACTGACTTGAAGGTGTGCGCGCACCCCCCCCCCAAGTAAATCATAATTATTTTTTAAAAAGCTTCCCACCCAGAGGAAATTCTGAATGGCCCCCAACTTCATATGTTGAGGGCCATTCAGAATTTGTTTGAAAACAAAAGGTGGTAAGCATTTTAAAAGGTTCTAAGCTATAATGCAAAACTTCCAGATAATGTTAAGTCTTGCTTTAGAAAGTGACTAGTGCTAAGGAACTCACATTAGATAAGAGAGAATATACCATGGTACTACCCAAAGTGCATTATAACCATCTCTCTCTCTTCTGCAGAAACTTGCATGAAAGAATACCCAGTAGTGTGACTGGTGATGTCACATTTTAAAGCGTTTGCTGTACAGAAATGAACAGCTAAATTTGGAGTGCACAACTTCATGGGGAACATCTCAGTATCTCCTTTCATTGCTATGGTGGAAAACAACAAATGTAAATCAGCAAACTTGTAAGTATTTAATGAGAAAGAAAGTTTCATCGATTTCACTGGCACATACTCCCATATAGATAAATATAGATTTGTGGTCTCAAAATGTTCTAACCAGATACAGATTTGCTGCAAACTCCACTCAGCCCCCCACGCCCATACTGCAGTTATGAAACTTCCATCTTCCATCTGCTCTTACCTAGCATTAAGTTCCAGACCAACCAATCATGAATTTTTGCTAATGGGTTTTTTTGTTTTCTACTGAAAATGTTCACTGCATATGGGCTTATTAAAATTAATTCTGATTGTTAAAAAGGGAGTGTACAGGATGTACATATATTTTAAATGCTGTGAAATTCTTGATTTTGTTAGCAGCCTTCCTTTGGAAACCCAGCCAACTGCAATGTGCTATTTGTGCCCTTTGTCCACAAACAAGGATTTAATACATCCTAATTCATTTTAAGATATTGGGGCCAGCCTAATACACTTCTGCGTGTCCGAGCATAAGTGATCCAACAGAAAACCTAAGCGTGAAATCTTATTTCAAATCCCTCTGTGCCAATTGTGTGCTTAAAGAGAAGTGTTATTTCAGGTTACTGTGCACAAATACGGACAAAATTGAGCATGTGCCAAATCCCCCCACATCTGGGAAAGACAGATTGATGATAGACAGACAGACAATGTCATATCCCAATCTGCGACCGTCCAGACGTATTGGGAAGTGAAATTAGTCAAGATATGCAATGCCCCCACCACAATGTCTTTCAACAAACACGCAACGGAATGATAGTGCGAGGCCTCCACATTAACGCACTAAAACCTCCACATCCAGCGTTAAGGGATATCAGGCCAAGCTACGGAATG